AAGGATGCTTTAACATCAGTGTATCTATCTTGATACAGATGCTTCTGTACAACTGCAAAAGCAAGAATCTTCCAAGTGTGCAGCAAACTAGACTTCCTTTTTCCAAGAATCTTGAAATTACAGTGACTAATGCAGTACCTTGTGGTACGTCAGCAACAGGTTGAATGCTTGAGAATCCTGACAGCAAGCAGGAGAGAAGATTACAGCAGAAGCTGAAAAGAAGCTATCCATCCTAATTTAAGTTCACTGAGAAAGGAAGAAAAAGCCCCAGTTGATGCCCAACTCTCATTTTTGCTGGGCAGTTGGTACCTATGCAGGAAGTGATCCCTGATTATTTTTTTATGTGAGTGGCTCAACTGTTTCACTTACTGTTCCTTCTCACATACTTATTTGTGCTTCATTTGCCCATTTGTGTCTTGTTATGAAACCAAGATAATACATTCTTCTGAGTGAAGAATGCTTTCTGGCAATTACAAACATTTTACATTGAGCAGGACTGTGAGATGCAGATGACCTCCTGAGACATCTGTTCTGCTCAAGTCCTGTATCTCTTTTCAAAACTCAAAGATAAATCTGTGTTGTGGCCCAAGGAGAGAGATGGATGGCCTGTATGAGAGCAGACTAGTCTGTCAATAAAGCATATTTGTGCAAATAATACAAAACTTTTTAAAGGAGGTCCAGCTTTTTTTAGGCAAGCTAACTTGGATTTCTTACACAAAGTTTTAAGCTCTGTAGCTACTGGTGGTGTGAGGCATAGCGGTGGACACTGAGTGTGTCTTCAAGACAGAGTAAAGTGAATCATGTTGTAATTTTTTTCTTACAGCTTCTAATCTGTCATACCCTGAACAAAATTCAGGTATCAGAAAAAACATCATATTCTTAGAAAATATTTGGACTTCGTTACTTCCACACTCTACAGTCCAGAGGGCAACTGATTCCTGTAGCCGTTACCCTTTTTTCCACCTAAAATTCTCCAGGAAGTAAATACGTGTTTAGTTTGGCAGTGAGCTAAAACAAAACATTTGTGTTCAAATTTGAAACAAATCCTAACCTTTACTGGCTAAAGCCAGACTCAGTAATTGTTCTGTATGTTAGTATCTGCCAATTCAGTATCATCTGAAGCTTCCTAGTATTTAATTCTTAATACTTGCATCCAGGTTTTTTGCTATTTAAAGCAGCATAACATCAAACTGTATAGCCTTTGTCTGTATATTGCTGCATATATGTGTTTTTGCACACACTGAATATTCAATAAAAGATTTCTTTCATGCACAATGAGTTTTGTTTGTTGAACGTGTAAGATAGACTTGCAGCAATGAAGCTTTTTCGCAGGCAAAATGGGAGAAAGGTTCTTCTGTAAAGATGCAGATGTGTGCTTTTAATGGGCTATTAATACCTCTGACAAAACCACAACCTGTTTGGAAACTGTCACTTTTCTTTTGTGTGCTACCTCCCCTTTGATATTGTAGAAAGAAGATTGGAATGAAGTATGCTACTGTCTGGGTTTTGCACTTGTTTAAGTAGTTTGCTGGTGACTAACATTGGTATCTAATTAAAGCTGCTGCTTTCCTGATGTATCTCTTGAGAAATGCTGCCATCCAGGTAATTAATGTGCTGTGACTGCGCTGGCTCAGATACCTACATTTGAAGCAGGCTACTTCAGAGCGTACTATGTTATCATTGACCTTGGGTATGTTCTGTGCTGGCCTCTATCTGAAACAGAATTTGAAACTAGACAGGCATCAGAGCTGATCCTGTGTGACAATTCCCACTTCACTAGCGTTGGCACCATCAGTTACATCAGATAATGTATTGCATCACGTGTGAGGAAGACTATTTGTTCTGTCATTCAGTCAGCTCACTGGTGCTATGTAGTGGGAAACATCTTACAGAACAATCAGAAATGACTTTTCTAGGGATATTGTGGTCAGCCTCATTTGATGTACTATGTGTCTGAGTAGAAACACTGCTGTAGCGTTGGCCTCCTTAGCACTTGAGCTGTTGCTTTTCAGAGTACAGCTTCACTTGAGGTCTTGGCAGAGCTGCTTCCCACTTAAACAGTGAGTGCCTAGCCCAGACAAATTCATTAATCTGAGACTCTACCATTGCTCATGTAAGATGTGTTATTTCTGCAACTTCAACCTTGACTGCAAGTAAAGGAGTAGTAGGTTGGATTGGTTTTGCCTGTGATATGGATGGTGCGAAGCTGTCAGACCCTTTTTCCATTTGTTAAAGAGCTACTGGGATTAGGTCTATTGAGCTGATATTTATGGTATCTGAGATGTACCTCAATCTTCTTTAAATATGTATGAAGGCTGCTCCGAAAGTAATGCCTCCAGTTTTATTATGTTGGCCAGTAAGGTCAGAGTTGAATGTTGGTCGTGTTGTGGCGAAGTTGTATTTCCTTGCCAGTATTCCATTACATATTGATGCTGTGTAACAGATGATAGCAGAAGGGGCAGTATAACAAAACTGTCTGACACGGAAGTGTATGTCAAGCAAAGGTGTGGAATTCAGTTCCTCCATGCAGAGGAAATTGCACCCATTGACATTCATCAATGTTTTTTGAATGTTTATGGAGACCAAACAGTGTGAATGTGAGCACAGTGAGGCAGTAGGTTGTGTGTTTCAGCCGTGACAACAATGCCCAGAAAGACAAGCTGTGTTACAGATGGTCATGCAGTCTTTTTTGAGCACGGCATGCAGACTTTTCATCATTGCTGGTGAAAATTCATACTTAATGATGGTGGTGACTATATTGAGAAAGTGGTCTGTAGTTGAGAATTTACTCTACCGAAGATGTTCTTGTGCTCTTCGTAGTTTCCATGGATATAGGAAATTTACTTTTGGAGTGAAGTACACATAAATAAACATAAATAGGTATATACACACTTAGGCGCATAATTGCCTCCAACACGATATTTTGGCATATACATTTGTCTCAGTTAAAACATATTAATATAAATACCTAACAAATATTCCGTCTCTCTTATATGCATATGAATATGCATATATGTGTAGGTAGCAATGACTATGCTTCATTTGAGTAAACATCACTGGGAACACCAAGCCAGGCAAATGCTTGTAATGAAGTATTAGGCCATAACCAAAGCACCTGTGAATATGTTAGGTATTCAAAAAAAAATTAATAAGTCTCAGGCTTACCCGTATACAAAATAGAGGTTGTCTTCAGTATTTTTGAAGTTGTGCATGTTTCTGAGTTCTCAAAGCGTAGCATGATTGACGAGAGGAACATTCTTCACAGGAACCTGAGATATGACAAAACTGCAAATGTGTGATGCAGGAGTATGAAATTGGCCTGAACTTTAAATCAAGTCTAAATATAGATAGTAACCTCTTCTGTAAGAAAGGCTGAGAATGAAATGTTTGCAGAAAAATAGCATTTCTACACAGTTAATGAATTTGTGAAATTAAGGTAGCTTTCAGATTACTTGCAATTGGTAGAAAGATCATGCAGTGGAATAACAAGTGTCACTTGCGAATAGCCTGCCCATTCAATGTCATTTTGTGCTGCCATCATAAACTAAGACAGGTTCTTTTCATTCTGCAGCTTTTCAGGTTCTCAAAGGTAACTTTCCTCCAACATCATGAATAAGTTCTGTGGGAACACGGAGCACATGTGAGTCATTCTGCATCAACAAGAGAATGCCTTCAACTTATTATTTCAAGGGGACATCTTGTCAGTGTTTCTGCTTGAAAAGTTTTACATATGATTTTTTTAACCTAAAGACACCATATACTGATCAGTCTTACTCTGCAGTGTTTTTTCAGTTATGAAAAAACACTGCAGTGTTCAAAAAGCTGTGTTTATGCCATGGAAATGGATCCCTCTTGTCTCTACCACTCTGAATTTGGCCACGTGATTTTATTATCCAATAGGCTGTTACTTTGTCTAACATTAGAACGTCATGCCTCTGTCTGATCATGCAATGCATAGGAAAGAACCTTATCAAGCTGGAGAAACAAACATTTATTTAAACCTGGTAGATATCACTCACACAAGGAGCACAATATTCTCTATTTATTATGAAAGCATACTCATGCTAATACTGATTTTGTCTTCTAATTATTGAACCCAGTATTAATTGTCATTATTAATAATTCCCTGCATGCTTTTGCCAGTTGTTTTGTGGACTGGTTCGACCTGGTTCTGAGATTAATGGGGTGGGAGGAGCTACGGACCCATGCCCTGGGAGAGGGGAAGGGGGAAAAGCTAGGGAGACAGGCCTAAAAACAGCAGCAATAGGCTAAGGGAGTAAAAACTAAGTTACTAATCAGAATGGAAGATAACACAGTATAATACAGTGTAATTGTAAGTGAAGGTAATGAATCAAATAAAGCGAGAGAGAGTCCAATACTGAAGGCTTTACTCTAATGCTGGAGGTGAGGTGGCTAGGAAGCACACATGGCAGAGGGGAGTGTAGAAGAAGGAGCATCTCAGACTTGGGAACAGTTGTATCTTCCCCTTCAAATGCAAAACGGAACAGTGACAGTCTTATGGGATATGTAGCTCTTCTCTGCTGAGAACCAGGTACCTGGAAATATTGACAATCCATGGAACTGGAGCATTAACTCTTTAACTACCAGTGCTGTATGTGATGTTACAATGTGGGATATTGATAACAAAAATCATAAAACTGTGGCAGCTTGTAACAATTGGGAAGGAAAATGTTGTCTCTATGCAGAAAACATAGGACTTTTATTTCTTTGGATTTACTGTCTAATATTACGCTTGTGTTTCTCCCCCACAGCTAGAAGGAAACACCACATCAAGATTTGCATCATTAAGTAGAAATGTGCAGCTCATGATGAATAAGATGTGCTGCCTCCTAGTGCGATTCCTGGATGCTTGTTAAAGATGTTCTGGAGGGTGTAATTAAGGAGGAATGGTTTGTATTCTCAGACAGCACTTTATGATGCAAGGAAATACAACCTATCACCAAATGTTTGCTTGATTAAATCTGGTAGTGGAGTGAATCCCCAGAAAGCTTACCAAGCAGTAGATAAATATTAAGAAACCTGAAAAAAAAAAAAAAAAAATCTGCACTGTATGCTCAGAATGGAAATAAAAGCAGGGACCCATCAGCTGCCTGCCCATGATGATGGATTGAAGGTGCTTTGTGCAGCTCATGTCCCTGTATCTCATCTGTACCAAGCTCTGCTTCTCCTTTGGATTGCATTGACAGAACAAACTGTTTCTGCAAGGTTTTGCAGGATCTGTACAGCGTGCTGACTGATGTACTGATGCTGAAGGTCCATCTGTTCTAATACCTTGTTTCCCACTGAATTTGGCTTCTCATGCCTACGCTCTGCAGCAATACAGAGAAATGTGATTGCTTTCCCTTTCTGGAGAAAAGTCACTTGAGTGCAACAGAGCAAGAGGGGAGCAGCAGTGGCCCTGGTCTGTACATTGGAGACCACTAAGGGGTCCAACAGGTGGGAGTTTGAGCTTCTCATCCTCATTTGGATAAAGATTTTATTGTATTTTTGCAGCAGGGCTAAGACTCATATTTTTTTCTGTAAAAGAATCACCCGCCATCCTTGAAAATAAGCTGGGAGCACGAATCCTGACAGAACGGCAGCATTCACCTCGAGTCACTCCAACCTGAAGACTTTCGATAGGAAGTAACCAAGAGCTCGGGGGCGTTTTCTGAGCCGTGGGTGAAGCAAAACAGGTGTGCTGAATTGACTACCAATAGCTTGCTCATACTGCTTCTGAGTATGGTGGTGATTCAGCCCCGGGGCGAACAGCGGACAGGTGGTGCCACGAGGTGACCAGGACCTCAGCCTCTCCCCTTCGCTTTTTTCCTATCCTCACCTCCCACCCCCACGTCACGACGCGTAGCCGACCTGCAGCACACTCCCCCTCCCCAGCCGGGGATGAAGGCTGGGAGCCGCCCCACCGCCCCCGGTCCCTCCTCCCACCTCCCCTCCCCTCACCCTGTCTCTCCTTCACACTCGCTGCCCGCCGTGCTGCCGTCGGGGCGGTGTCGGGAGACTCGGCGATGTGCTGAGAAGGGGCAGCTCCCATCAGGTTTCCGCGCTTCGCCCTCCTCCTTCCCTGCCTCCCCCCGCCTTCCTGCAGCGGCGGACCCAGCGGTAAGTGGTGGGGAGTGCGTGAGGGGCTTTGCTCCCTTGGGGCTGGGCAGCCGCTGGGGTGAGTGTGCAGGGGTATAGAGGTGCTTTTACCGCCGAGCGTTCTCCTTTGGGCACGAAGGAGGAAGGGAACGAGAGGGGAAACAGCGGGCGCTGCGGCTGCCGTGTGCGGGAGCCGCTGGGTGCTATCTGCTCACGTCGCCCTCCCCTTCTCCTCGGGTAGTCCCTATAGATAGAGCAATTTGCTTGTAAGAGAGCCCTGTACGTTTGTTCTCCTCCCTCCACAGGTGCCCTTTCTTTTATTTGGACAGAGCCACGTAGCCGTGTATTGCTTTTTTTCCCCCACGCTGCACCCAGGTGTTCCCACACCTGCTCTCGGTGTTGCCCACGGTGTCACTGGGGCGCGGATGCTGCCCTTCTGATTGCCACAGGTTAGTAGCAAGCTGCCCACTGCCTTCCTAGACATCCCTTCCTCTGGCGGAGGGAAGGAACTAGCAGGCAGTGCCGCTTCTGAGAGGGGGAGGGAGAAGAGGGAAGGGTCTGTCGTGACGGGATTGTGGAAGGGATGCTGACTTGGTGGCTTTAATTACTGTCTTTGTAGCTTAATTGTAGCGTGGGGCTGTATAGCTGCCACAGAACTCGTTTGCTAGCTGTAGTGCAGAGCTGTTAGCATTGCATGTTCTTGGCTTTGCGTTTTCGTAATTTTTTTTCTTTAGACTTGATGCATGTGCAGGATCCCTTTGGAGAACTCAAGTACTGGCAGAGTGATACGAGCTGCACGCAAAATGAAGAGTTGTTGAAAAGCAGCGTTTTGTGTTTGCTCGAGTCCTTCTGGAATGCTAGCAGTTCTTCTAACAATAAGTGAACGTTTCTCATTTAGAAGAGGTGTTAGTGAAGTAGCTAGTATTTAAGATTTTCCTTTGAATGAGAAGGTGGAGCATCAGCAAATGATGGGATTAGATCTTGCCGATAGCTGTTGAACAAACTGTCCTTTGGAGGAGATGGTGATGGGCAAGGAATGGGCTTGCTCCTTTCAATGAATGCACCTTCAGATGAGAACTGCGTTGTCAGTGACCTCTGTAGGTTTCTGTGGGAACTCCCAGGCCTTCTAGGGACTACTGTAGCCATGCTGCTTGACTTGCTATCTGTGATAGCATGTGAGAAGATGTAAAGGTGACTTGTGTAACTGAGCTGCTTGGTTTTAACTGTTTTTTCTATCTGCACTACAGGATACAGACAGCAATGTGTATATTGCTGATAGAGATGTAGATAGAAGTTATATAATATGTTGGTGTAAATAACATATTTTTAAAATATTTTGATGTTCAATCAGTTTTAATGTAATTTTCTTCCTTTGCTGGCAAAAAAAAAAAAAAAAGCTGAGAATCGTTATTCAAAGCATGCTTTTTTTTTTTTCCTAGTTTTGTGTGAAGAAATTCTTCAGCCATGGATGTGTTCATGAAAGGACTAAACAAGGCAAAGGAGGGAGTTGTAGCAGCAGCAGAGAAAACCAAGCAAGGAGTGGCTGAAGCAGCAGGAAAGACAAAAGAGGGAGTCCTCTATGTGGGTAGGTGGGCAGCAAGGTCATGCTGCTGTTAGTTTTCCCTGACAGCCCCGCTCATCTGCAAGAAAGAGCTGAATTCTCTCTTCTTTGAAGTATGTAATTGTTGATAGAAGAGGGTTAACTGCAAAGTAAACAGGATGAGACTTGAACTCACCTGAGCTCCAGGTCTTTGAAGATTGCTGTTTGTGTGTTTGATTGTTTGTGGTGTTGTACTGTCACTGTTTTGCTTGTTGTCACTGTGTTGTGCTGGCCGTATGTGGCTGCATCGTGGGGCGGCTTTTGTAGTGTCATAAAGGATAAGCTTGCCTGGTGGAAGAGACCTTACAATGCAAGTTACTGGCTGGTGCTATTCAAGATGTTTGCTGAATGGGAAGTATTTTCACAGAGTCCTGTAGAATGCCTGAGTCTAAAGCAGGATTTTAAAAGCAGAAACTTGAGATGTTGATTCTGGAACTGAGTATAAGAAATGTCAATGGCTTTTCCTGGAATAAATTGAGGGTAAGTGAAGAAAGGAGCTTGTTGACTTTCTTCACTAAATAAAAATCCTCAACAGTAACATCTTGAATGATAAGGTGTCCATTCCTTGTCTTTCAAAATTAACCTGATGTTCTATACTTACTGCACAGCAGTTATTTTCCATTGCTTCTCAAAGAAGAACCTTTACAGTCACTGAGCTAGGGTAGTTAGTCCTCCAAGCAGCAGTGGAGAGAATGGGAAGCAGATGTTAGTTGACTTATCCAGACTATGCAAGAACCTTGCATGAACCAGGGAAGAGATTCTTTTTAAATCCCACATTGGTATGTAGGTGGCGTGATCATCATTTTCGCTTAGCAACTCTCAGGCCTTAAAATACTGTCTTGTAAATGCCATGGTGAAAAATGTCCAGGAAAAGAACTGCCAAGACCATACAAATAGGTCATTTCAACTGGAGGAATTCCATATTTTTTGTGAAATTCAGCTGCATGGTAGTAGAATAGAAAGGAAAATAGATTGTTTTCTGTAGTTTTGTTCTTTTTTGAATAATTTGGCAGCAGGTCGTTTCTGTAACGAACAGAGTTCAAATCCAGAGGTATTTATTTTAAATGGAAGAACTGATATTTCTGTATGTTTTTCCAGGATTCCTTCTGCCCTTGCAGAATCCTTTGCAGTTGCAAGGGAATCCCCTTGCCCTTAATGCCAGTCTGTAACAAATTATTTCTTCTCCACGTAGTTTAGACTACTGATTTGGAATATATTCTTCTCCTGCAGAGCTGTAACTGAGGTTGGTGCTCTTGCCAACAGAGATGGAAGTCATTTTGAAAAGTAGTTGTGAGATGAATCTATTTAAAAATGAGCATCTGCTCATTTCCAGCATCAAAATAGCTGTACTTTCACTGCACATCATGCTTGATATTAAAATTAATTTTAAGGATATGGCTTTATTTTAAAACTTTGTTTTTTTGTTGATCTTGAGTGTGCTTTTAGGGTCATTGATTTCTTTGTATTGGAAACGTGTGTTGTGTGCTGAAATAATCCTTGTCCTGGAGCTCTTCTCCTGATGGTAATAATGTCTGGAACTAGCTGTCCTCCCAAAGGCAACAGATTTCCTGTTTGTTGTCTTCAGAGATATTTTTGCTGAGGCTGTGCTTCATAGGGCAGGCTTGCTGTTTATTTCATAACTGAAATACCTTGGTCAGCAAAGCCCTGAGCCATAATGAGGATCTGTGCATACTACTACAGAGATGTGAAGCAAGCACCTTCCTGCAGCAGATAAATGCTTTTCAGGAAGAAAGACCTATATGCAGTTTCAGTGATGCAGGCAGAAAACACTTCAGTTAGAGTTGCTCCTCAGAATTTCTGACAGGTAATGTGTCTGGGTGTATGCTTGGGTTTAGTGAGCCAAGGTTTCCATAGTTAAGTTTTCAAAATGTTGTACTAGGTAATGGACCCAAGTGATAAACTTGCTGGGTTATTGGTTCCTTGGGTTCTCCAGCTGCAACTGGAGAAGCCAGAATTAAAACAAGGAGAGTAAAAATCAGAGCAGAAACCAATAGGCTCAGCAAATTGTAGTGGTGTTTGGGGACCCCTGTGAGGGCTTGGTTCTGGCAGAGGGCGGCTGAAACTGGGTCACAGCTCTGTGTTCACTGCCTAAGCAGCATGTTTAGGCTGCCCAGAACCCCTTCATTTCTGAGCTGGCGATGTCTCTGTGCTTCCCAAGCACATAGCAGGGGCAGCTCATCTCTTGAACAGCATAACCAAGACTGATGTGATAATCTCTTCGTTCTGTAGGCTGATAATGATTGCAATCTGGAAGGTGGTTAAAAAAAAGAACCTCTATAATCAGAGAGAAGGAGCAGCATAGCGTGTTAAGGATTCTAAAGATTTCTTTCTTCCTCTGTAGCTGAGTTTTCAGATACAAATTGCAAAGACAGACAGTGAGATTATTTGTGAAAGCTACCTGACATCTTGCAAACAGTCTGACAAAGTTAGGCTAGGAGGGACCTGTTAATCATTTTTAGTGTCAGCAGTCATCTCAGTGGCATTCAGCCTCCCATTGCTGTTACAAAATGAGTAAGATTGAAGAAAAAAAAAAAAAGGTTTGGTCCAGATTCCCAAGATGCTATGGTCTTTCATTTAAGAGATAAATTTAGGTAGTAGAACTTAAGGAATTTGGGAGTGTAATTTAAGTAAAAAATGAAAATATGTGCCTTTCTGTCCAGGGAATGGTTAGCTATTATGATAAAGATTGTAACGTACTTCTACATAGTGAGAATCTATTAACAACAGCTACTGTTTAGGTTCAAGTGTGAAACATAACACTCTGAGGGAGTCTTCTGGAGGATTAATGGGGTTCTTTTTCCTTTCCATATGTAAGTCTTCCCTCCTACCATCCTGGGCAGCCTGATCTATCTGTAGATGACCCTGTTCATTGTAGGGATGTTGAAGTAGATGGCCTTTAGAAGTCACTTCCAACTCTTAAGGATTCTATGATCTTTGTCTGTCTTTCCAATACTCAGAATGTCCTTTAATGCAGTCTGTAGTATGTTTTTATTATTTCCTTTTTTTCCGGAGTTCCTCTGCTGATGTCCCTCAATGCTGACCAACTGAAGTACAGTGGTTTTATCTTGACTTACAGAAGCAGCATCAGGACCTTTTTTTTCTGTTCAAAGAATGACCTGAGTGTTGATAAGGAGGGAGGACTGAGATATCATAAACTCAAAACTGGGTCTCCGTGTATCTTTCAAAAGCTGTTGGTGTGAAGCAGTGAAGAAAAATGTGGCAATGCTTACCCACACGACTTTGAAGCCAAGATCTGTGACTAAGGATAATTCTCTTGCATGTGATCAGTGATGTGCTGCTAAAGGGTTCCTTTGAGCTCTGTGTTGTTACCAGGGAGCTGCTGTTTGTGCTCAGTTGACTTCTGAGTGTCTGTGCAGTGCTCAGGAGTGGAGGTTTCCAATCTGATCTCTCTAGCCATGATACACTATAGCAGAACACAGGAGTATCTTATCAGGAGACAAGTTTGTGGCAGAAGAATTTACTGCCCTGTGCTCAACTGGCCTTAGAGTAGATCAGTCCTGTCATGATGTATTTGGCAGGACCATCCAAATTCCTCTGCTGTACTTTAAGGTTTTTTTGTTTTCCTATGGTAATAGGTAAGCTTTGTGAAGGAGTTAAGGGGCTGGAGGTCCATCTGGTGGGATGGTGGGCTTCAGCACTCAGGAGCAAGTATTAAGATTTATCCTTCCCCTGATTTGGGCTTATGTGTCTTCACAAGATCTAAATGTCCTGAATCTCAGTAAAGGCTTGATTGTTATGTTCTAATCATCTCTCAAAACCGCCCAGAAATGAGTGTTGACAAACTGATAGTGATGATTGTAAGTAATGAAATGGAGAGAGTCTGTTGTTGTTTCAGATAATAACATAAAGACAAAAATTGTGTGTTTGGTTTTCTCGGAGTGACTTGAATATCTATTATAATGAGGAAAAATATTGTACTGTGTGCTACTATTGCTCTTGATTAAAATAAGTAGGCATAGGTCAGCGTCAGATTACTTCTTGTCTCACTTATCTATTCTCACTGTTATGCTGAGTATAATGAGCTGGTTTATTCATGTTTTGAAAATAGCAGAATGAAAGACAGGTAGTTAATAGGAGGAAGCAATGTGGATGACTGCTTTCATTCATTCCCAGCCAGGAGCTGCCCTAACAAATTCAGTTGTTCTATTTATAGACCTGTTCTGGCAGGTCCTAATGTTCTTCTAGATCCTGTTGTAATTCTGTCTGGAGAAACAGCTACTTCCATTGAATCACAGAATCACAGAATTGTAGGGGTTGGAAGGGACCTCCAGAGATCGAGTCCAACCGCCCTGCCAAAGCAGGTTCCCTACAGTAGGTCGCACAGGTAGGCATCCAGGCAGGTCTTGAACATCTCCAGAGAAGGAGACTCCACCACCTCCCTGGGCAGCCTGTTCCAGTGCTCCGTCACCTCACTGTAAAGAAGTTCCTTCGCACATTTGTGCGGAACTTCCTATGCTGCAGTTTCCGGCCGTTTCCCCTTGTTCTGTCTCCACTCACCACTGAAAAGAGTCCGGCCTCGCCATTCTGCCCCCCACACCTTAGATATTTATAGACCTGGATCAGGTCCCCTC